AAATGGTATCCTATCTCGACGTTCATTAATGCTCCTTATAAACTATACAACATAGTCCACATCCATTGGAAAATTTCATGCGCCTTATATATTATCCTCGTAATAGCAAAGAGGAGTGTATGATTTACCTTACAGCAAAATTTAACAACCTGTTGACTGTAAGCCTTAAATGTAGATGCAACAGCAGAACAGAATCCAAATTGTCCGGCTGACTTTTACAAAACCTAAAAACCCTTTCTCCCAGCTAAAGATTGGACGAAAACGCACTTTTCTACCAAACAATTAAAAAAGGATATTTTGAACATGCTTTCTATAAAATCTATTTGGATTTATGAGGAAATTGAAAGTCAGTGGGGAAAAGTTGTACTACGTAGTCATTTTTCGCCGAGTGCAGTTATTGCAAGGACTGAAAAAGTGTTCATTCAAAAGCCATCATCCTGGCGTAAGTGAAATATCTTGTGAGTTTGTTTCCTGATAATCAGTAGTAAAATTAAATGGAAGTATTCCTTCCTAATAAAAAACGTTTTTTTTTAAATTTCGGTTAACATTTCGTGAGATTGGTCACGAACTGTCATTTCCAGGTTTTTTGAGTAATCCCACGTTTGCATCTCAATAGGATTTAAAAGTAACTTATTTGAACTACGAAGCCAGTAATTCTCCGTCTCTTGGGGAGGTAAAATAAACACGTATTTGGCAGGGCATAACATTCCTGCCAAGCTAATGATTCACCAAACCTAACGAATATTGCTTTTCTACGCTATCCTATTCAAAGATTGTCCATTGCCTTGCAACCTTAACCAACGTACCTTGCCTGTTATTCAGCATAAAATGGACAAGAAATTTATGTGTGCACTTTCTTGGCTTCAGTTTTTCTCCAGGTTATTTTAATTGCTCGTCTGATTGGACCTAGGTTTGGCCGCAATAATCTTTTTACAGTTTAACTGAAGGCTCCCCTTTAGACAGACTGGAAGACAGCTTTACCAATGGCAATTCCAGGGCAAACTTTGCTATTCGTTTCACCCGATTGTGTCCGGTACTAAGCATGACACATTTTGGTATATATTGGAAGCATCGGACCCCACTAACAGGGGACAGTTGGTTTAAGAAGACTGTCATAGACGGAACAATTTGTACATCATTCGCGAACAAAAGAACCACTTTTCCTTTATGGAATATTTCTTTAGGTGAGCGCCCTTTTAAGCAGCACTGAGGTTTTGAGGATAAGCAATCAATTACGATGTTCACTGTGCATCCCCTAGATATTAACTTCGGTGAGACAAGTCGGCAAGTCTGATAAGCTTCAGTTGGCACTGTCGATCCGTATTCCTGAAAACAGATCTACATATCATACTAGAGTTGCAAAAAAGACAGTATGGCTTACATCCTAAAAACAGAAGCCGACCAAGTCTGTAATCTCTCCATCTCTTTTATGAGGTCCTTCAGAATCATGACCGTTGAAGCCATTGTGCACGATGCGTCAGTAGCGGCATTTTACGTCTGGCTCACACGTACAAATTACTTTAAAATTTCCAGAAGTAATGGTGTAAAAATTGATTATATTGCCATTTAAGGGTATCTATAGGATGGGCAAGGGTAGAAGCCTTATTCCCATAATAAACTGACTTGGTCAGCAGACGTAGGCTACAGTGAATTACGAAACGATTTCGACAATGCTCCACAGTAGAGATTGGCACGCACCTTACAGTCAGTGACTGATTTCATGAAATGTTAGCGGAAATTCTGAAGTGCGTTTTCGATTAGGAAGGGTCGCTTAGGTGGGGATGCAATATTGATTATTATGCAACATAATCCCATGATATTTCGGACTCACCAGGATGTTGGCCTTTTAATGCGATTTTCTGACTCCCTGTGGAAAATGCGCTCAGTAAAACATGACTACTTAAATGGCACGATTTTTTACATCTATTTTTTACGCCTTTATAAATTCAAATTTATTTTCTAGAGAAGATACGCAAAACAAATCTTTGTTGTGCTCATTTGGAAGTAAAATACACTTTCTCGAAATGTTATTTTCGAAGAGAGAGTACCTTCGAGTTTTAAAAAGGTTTTCCCATTACTGAATCATTTCAAGTCCAATCTACCGTTGCATTTCCGTTTATTGATTCCATTTCATAAGGCGTATACTTTCTGCATTGAAAAAATCATATTTTCTTCTATACCTTTAAGAAGATCCCACATAGAGCTCGTATAATTTTATAATGGATGCGGGTTACGTTTTATACAGTATGTATGCTGTTATGCAAATATACATAATCTCATAATTAGAAATCTCATAATGATAAACTTTTGAAACCGAGAGGTAATCCCTTTTCGAGTATAACCCTCGAGGAAATCGTAATTTACTCATTAATGAATGTAAGAAAGAGTATTTTGTGCATGTTTTCTAAAAAAAATATGTTTGGATTTATAAAGTCATCAGAAATCGATGTGAAACATTCGTGCTATTTTGGTAGCCATGTTTTGCCGAATGCGGTTTGCTCGGAGGGTCAGAAGACCACATTTAAGGGCCGACATTCCGGTGGGTCCGAAATATCATGGGATTACGCTGCATACTAGTCAATATTGCAGCCCAGCCTAAGTGATCTTTCCTGATTGGCACTAAATTTCAGAATTTTGGCTAACATTTCGTGAAATCAGTCATTGACCGTGCATCGAAATGATGCATATAGGCGTCCTCTCCAGTAACTAGTGGGTCTATAAGTCTCATATATACTGATTTACTCCAAAGTTGACGATTAATTACTGAGAAACTTAAAAACCTGTAAGTTTAAAACTGGCGTATCTACTAAAAAGAACACAGGTGACGCTGGGGGACTCAATGATGTACTGAACCTCTCGCAAAAGTTTCATGCAGCGGCAGAATGTCCGCGAAACTCATGTCTGGGCTCTATTTAGTACCTTTGATGTCAAGAATAGTATGTTGTGAAACCTATTCAGACACCAATCGTATAATAATAATAATAATAATAATAATAATAATAATAGAATAAGCGGATGCCCAAGAGGCACCGTAGAGAAGGCCGTGTCAGCCCAATTTGCCTCCAGGTGAATGAGAAAAAGACAATCCAAGGAGCAACCGACTAGAACGGAGGCCGATGCCAGTGGCTCGGAAACTGGCGCGCTACATGGTGGACATCGCCGCACTCAGCGAGATCCGGTTCTCTCAACAGGGCCAACTGGAGGAGGTGGGTGCCGGCTACACCTTCTTCTGGAGCGGTCGTCCCAAGGCAGAGCGACGAGACGCATGTTTTGCCTTCACCATCCGGAACGACATCGTGGGACGACGGCCCTGTCTGCCGCAGTGCATTGACGATCGTCTGATGAGTCTCCGCCTGCCTCTTCAGAGTGACCAATTCGCCATCATTCTCAGCGTCTACGCTCCGCCGATGACTAGTCCTGACGCCGCAAGGGGCAAATTCTACGAGAACCTCCATGCCCTCCTGACGACTGTGTCGAAGGCGGACAAGTTGATTGTGTTTGGTGACTTCAACGCCCCTGTCACCACAGAGCGATCTACTAGGCTAACCGCATTGCCGCCTCGAAAGCCAAACAAGATGCCCGAAAATCTCAGTTGCACCCACTTCACAAAGCCAACGCACAGCCATCTCCAATGTGACCGCGATGTCAGCTGACTTTCCGGGTACCAACTGGACTTGTTGGGCCCCTTCGGATCAATGGAAGCACTCGGACCGCAGCAACCGTCACAGCACCTTCACCACGCATATCGGCCTGGTCGATCAACTGCGCATCGATCGCCTGGAGCACCAACCTACACCCGGCGCATTCGCCATCACTGTCCACACTGCCCTCGCACATTCATGAGCCGCATTGGCCTATTCGGTCACTTGCATATCCACGAGAGCGGAATTGACCGCAGCCCTAACACACCCAGCACACCCACGCACCTAGCCCGCCCACAGCCCGCAAACCAGCGGGCCCTTCGCCGCCAATTCCACCACGCTCAGCACATCTTGCACACCCAGTATGCTCAGCCCAACCCACACCCATCGCTCAGCGCGTCCATTACCACCATCGTCGAAGCTGATACCGGCGCCGCCGACGTCTCATCTCCACACTGTCCCCCCATATTCACCTCAAGCATCGGCCTGGTCAGCCACTTGCGAATCCATCACACAGGGGCTGGCGAACCAGTGGCTGGAGCAGCAACCTACACTCGCCGCATCCGCCTCCTCTGCCCACATCGCACTCGCACATTTATTCACAGCATGGGTCTATTAGGCCACATGCACGTCCACGAGGACCTGGGGTAGACCACCGCCGGCTGCATCACACCATCACATGCTCCCCCCACCAGCACCTCGCCGCACATTAATCTCACCAACCCCAAACACCCAACCGTCATCTCCCATGTAAGTAGGAAGCATGTGTTTCGGCTCCTTCTCTATGCGGCTCCCCATCTGCATGTGTGATCGGAATCTGAGACGACAGTGCGTCGAGCGCCATGACTTGAAAGGGAGCCGGCTGACTTCCCAACTCAGTTCACGCAGTCTGTCCAGCTGTGTGTGTAGGTGTTCGTGGAGTAAAGGACTGGTGGGCTGAGAGCCAAGCTGAAGCGACTCCTTCTTCAGTGAGCTCTGACACTCTCATGTATGTGAGGAGTGCGTGTGCACTCTACGGGTAGTGCCTCTCAGTCGAAGACTGTTTGGTTACCTAACCTTGAAGGGTGATGGTCCAGGCTATATGCAGGACCACGTGTCACCCTTCTAGATCAAAACGTCTCTAAGCGTGGGCTACTTCAGTATCAGCAAACCATAGCCCTCGCAGCCTGATATGAGCTGGCAGTGCGCTGACACCTGGTGCCCTGCTGGAAGATGCGCTCCCCCTAGGTACACAGGTGGTGGGCATGGCTGCCCAGTTATCTTCGTCGCTCTGGTCCCTGTTTGGGTGTTCTTGTTGTTGACCGAAAAAATCCTGGTCATTTGTTGCGTTGACCAGGGGATGTGGTGGCACGCCTAGGTGCGGCTACAGACGTGCCAGTCACCTGCTCCCTTCCCCCACCTCCGATCTTCTTAACTCTGCCGATACAAGCGAAGATGCGAGTTCCAGGAACTAGTTGATCAGAAGAAGAAGCGATCGCTGGAACAATGGCTTTATTCGCCTGACGTTTCGGATTCTCTCTTGAATCCATCATCAGAGACGGTTG